CGCATGGTATAATGGAACTATTCTCTTTCTTCCATCTGTTGTAAACCATACTTGAAAGTCTGAAATACTTCCACTTGGTGGTTCATATAGCTTTGTAGGTTTTTCGTAAAAGTCATTTGCCAAGCATAAAAAGAGTTTTGTGCACCAGAAAATGAAGCATGAACGATAATAGCATCTGAGTCGAAAACATTTTCATATGTTCCATTAGGGTTTTCGACTTCATAAAAGTCCGGGTGTACTGGATATGCTGCAGGCTGATTTAACATCCTCAAAAATCTATACCATGCCAAGTTGTTATATTTTGTAGAAATATAAACGTTTTCTCCAAGGTCTTCTATTTTATTGATTTTAACAGTTGCATTTTTCCTGTCATAAACAATATCGAGATGGTACTCTCCTTCGTCAATGTTAAACTGGTTTGCATATTCGAGATAGATATCGTTTATTTTTTTCTTGAAAAGCTTGAAGAGTTGTTTCTAAGTTTACAAGCAAATTCACTTGTAAAAGTTTTCCCTGTTCAAATTTCTCATACGTACGTTTTTCTTTGTTATAGTATCGAACTTCAAAAGCGACCGTAAATGGGAAACCATGTATGGCTTCTGAAATGAACTTCATTCTACGAAAGCCAATAGCTTTTGTGACGGATGGGTCTCTTAACCATCTAAGTGGGTAGTCAAAACGATAGCCTTCATGCTTTACGGTCTCTGTCTCAAACTTTTGACCGACATTCGTAAAAAGTTCATCTAATGGTTTAGTTGTAGCAACTCTTGAATTTTCTTTTTCTATTGAAAGCATATTTTATCTAGAATAAAAAATGTCGAAAGAAACAGCGTCTATGAGAGAAATACAACACAACCGACAACTCATTGTACAAGCTCTAAATAAGAACACAACAAACTTTTCAAACTATTCTAAGATATCTGAGTCATTGAAAGAAGGAAACTTAAAACTGACATTAAACCCATTGACAGACGAGTTTCTGTTTCAAGACAACAAGAACCATACTGTTTGTATAAATCCAACAAAAAGAACTTTAAACGAGAAACCTATAGATGAACTTCTTTTGAAAGCAGATATTGACAACAAAGCTGACAAAGAGTATGTCATTGAAAAAGTTCAAGAAGAACATGACAGAGCAGATGCAACATATGCAACGAAAGAACATACTCATCCTGAACTAGCAGACAAAACATATGTTGACAATAAAATGTCAAGTGAAGTGACAAGAGCTGACAAAGAATATTCTAAAAAGACTCATACACATACCATTGCAAATATTACAAACTTACAAGAAACCTTAAACAGGAAAAGTGACGTTGGACATACACATACATCTTCTGAAATAACAGACTTAAACGTTAGCCTTGAAAAGAAGGCAGATAAGAACCATACACACGATTTCTTCGCAACTGTTGGTATAGAAAATATTGAAGGAACGGTTGAAGAAACTGGTGGGGATGCATTATATTGGAAACCTCCTAACTTTCCACAAGGTTTAACATCGGATGAAGACATAACAACGATGAAATACATTAGATGTAGAAATGTCTATGTCATGGAGGATGAAAACAAAGTTAAATTCACTGCTCAAGATTTATATGATAAAAAAGCTGACAAAACAGAGCTTCAAACGTTAAAGACAGAAATACTTCAAACACTATATCCTATAGGTTCTATTTACACGTCAATGAACTCTACCAGACCAGAAGTAGTACTTGGTCTCGGAACTTGGACTCAAATAGTCGACAGGTTTTTGTATTGTGCAAACTCTTCAAAGGAAACAGGCGGAAGTAAAACGATTTCAGGTGAAAACTTACCTGCACACAGTCACTACATAGATTTAAGTACATCTCAAGCAGGTTGGCATAAGCATAGATTTTGGGATTGGTCAGCAATGAAAAAGGTAAAGGATATGATGTTAAAGACAACGTTCAGTTTGCTATAAATTGTTTCTGGGGTAGCACACAGGGAGAAGGAAACCATACACATCGCGTTTCAGGGTATACGCAAACAACGGGACAAAGTAAAGACTACATGCCACCTTACATGACAGTTTACGCATGGTATAGAATTGCTTAGTCGTCATTTTCAACTTCTTTAGCATATTCGTCAGGAGTTGTCTTATATTTGTTAGGAACTGTCTTTGAAAGTATACCACCTTGAACTTTGACAAGTTTGAAACGAGGTCTGACAATAGTAGTTTTATCTTCTGCTTGCAGTGTGTACATTTTGCCATGTTTGCCTAAACTTCATAATATTCTCTTGTATACTTTCTTCTATTTTTACGAACACGAATGTGAGTACCTGTCGAGTTCCCATTGTTGTCATAGTCAATAGTATTTTCATATGGGTCGCGTTTAGGTATTTCTATTTTTACTTTGTCACCTTTCTGAAGTTTGAAGCCTGGCATTCTTTCTTGTTTGTCTCTTTTGACTAAAACTATTAAATATATAGTCTTTCTCTAAGTCAGGTTGTTTTTCATTTCTTCGGGGGAGTGGTTTCCCAAACCTTTTTTGTTACGGCTATTGTAAATATTTTAAAACTTGTCTCATCTTTGCCATGGAGAAGTGTCTATACTTGTCGTCATATGACATTTCATCTACCTCACCACCTTGTGGTTGATTTAAGTCTCTTAAGATTTTTTATACAACTGTCAATGACACCAAGAGCAGAATGGTTTTGGGTCGACAATGAAATATTGGTTTACATTTTTTTGAACGCAGATAGTTTTTAATATCGTCTGATTTGAAAGAACTTTCACAGTCAGATGTCAGTTTTGTTGGATGGTATTTGTCAACGAATATTGTCAAAGCAGTTTTCACATCTAAAATATTTTTGGACCATAATGGTATGGCTTCACAGTATCTTGTGTTTTGACCGACAAATATTAGCCAGTATGGTGGTCCATCTTCTCTATACCTTGGAATGTTTTCCAAGATATCCATAAACAAGCATTTGGTGTTGAACTAAAGATTTTTACCATGAGTGCTTTCTTTGTTGCCTTAGAAACATAGGGGTCCTTGTTTGAATTCGTCATTTTTAACCATAAGAAATGGGTTTATTTGGCGCATTAGCAGGAGTCGCATCTAGATTTTTGCCAGCAGTGGGAACAATAGCCAGAGGTGCATTTGGAATTGGAAGGAAGATTTTGAGTACATTAGGTATACTGAAAGAGAAAGCACAACCTATTATACAAACTGTACAGAAAGGTTGGGAGGTAGCACGAGATGCAGCAAATCTTATTCCAAATCCTGAAACAAGAGGAAAAGTTCAAGGATGGATGGACAATGTAGGAAGACAAGCAGGAAACTACTATAACAAAGCAAATGACTACTATAACCAAGCAGGGCACTACATGGACCAAGGTGAAAGATTCTTTAACAGAGGATATAACCATGCACAACAGTGGGTAAACAACAACCAACCTCAACCACCTCAAACGTGGGAATGTAAAATTTTTTACTGAGATGAAATGAACAATACAGCATTGAGACAAATGGCTCAAGATGGATTTGTCGGCTTCCAGCAGTTACACAACCACGTGTTTGTCAAGTTCTTCCTATACCTCAGGAAGTTTTTAGACCGACTTAAAAAACCTAAACAACCAGTTGAAAACAAAACAAACTAAAATTTTTTACTGAGATGAAATGACCGAAGAAGTTGAAACGGTAGATTTGACACCACAAACAAAAAGTTCAGAACCATTGTCAAAACCTGTCAAAGAACTTACAGATGAAGAGAAAATTCAATAATAGAAAGTGCTAGGTCTGGAAATACAAACTCTAACTACAAAGTCACTTTTCATAAAAATGGAACGGCTAGTATCTCAAAAAAGAAACAGACTCTCACAAATAAAATATTGAAGTCTGAAGGAGCTTTCGAGACAACAGATGGAAAAGTTTACTTCACTGACCAACAGTTCATTATAGAACATCTCATTGACTTAGAGTCAAAATATTCTAAACTTTACAACAAACACAAAAAGTTGAAAGGAAAACAAAAACAAATGGCATATGACATTTATGAAGATACTAACGACACAACCATACCTGCAAGTGAAGTAAAGTCAGATGAACCGAAAAGTGACGAAAAACCAATAGAAGAAGAAAAACCAAAAACTGAAGAAAAACCAAAACCAAAGGTTAGTTTTCAAACTAAACCAAGTCAACCTTCATTAGCTGGTATGGGTTGGCGTCAAAGACTTATGGTAGCCGGTGGTTATGTAAAGTAAAGAGAAAACATTTTTTTATTTTTATTTGAAATGTACGCTGAGTTTGTTGGAGAAGACCGTTGGGAAACTTGTTTGTTAGATGAGAAATATGAAATGGCATACCATTTAAAATAAAACATTTTTTTCAAAAAAACATTTTTTTATTTTATTTGAAATGTACGCTGAGTTTGTTGGAGAAGACCGTTGGGAAACTTGTTTGTTAGATGAGAAATATGAAATTCACTGTTGTGAGTCATTTGAAGTCAGAAACAAAGAGACAAAAAGAGTTTTAAGCGGATGGGAGCGAAATGACGGATATGCTATGATGAGGATGAGTGGAAAAAACTATTTTAAACATATTGTCATTGCAACTCATTTTATACCGAACCCTAACAATTTACCTTTTGTAGACCATATAAACCGTATAAGAAATGACAATAGACTTGAAAACTTGCGTTGGGTCACTTGTTCTGAAAACAGTAAGAACAAAAGCAAAATTGGAGATATAGTATTCGAATTTGTCGACGAACTAGAAGATGAAACAATTGAAATTACAGACTATGGCGAGCATACGTTTGAGTTTTACTACTACAGCGAAGAACAGGACTCTTTCTACTTTTATACCGGCGTAAACTATAGAAAATTACAAGTATGTTTTACTAAGGAAGGCTATGCTTATGTAAACGCTAGAGATACAGATGGAAAAAACGTTAGACTATATCTTAACAAATTCAAGAAGCTATATGGCATACCATTTTAAAACAGTATATTTTTTTTATTTTTATAAAAAATGCCCCCGTATAGAATGGATAGAAGGTCTGCTAGAATAAAAGCAGAGTTAGAAAGATATGGTTGGAGAGTTTCGAAGAAGTTTAAATATAGGAAGGGAAGACCCATAAAAGTCTATGACAAACTATCTGGTCTTCGCTATGAAATGGACTTGGAAACAGCACGCGCAAATTATCCAAACAGACTAGAGAGGTTAGAAGAAGAACGTCTTATGGACATGCCTTTCGATGTTACTGAGCCTCAAGTTGAAGGACACGACGGCTTTGCCAGGTTCTACTGGAAACATGACGAACAATTGCATCCTTTGAGAAGGAAAAAAGGAAAAGGTGAAGACGCACATGCTCCCATGGAAAGAACAAGATATGCATATGAAAAGTATCGCGAGGTTAGAAGTAAAATTACTTCTGGTCGAACCTTTACAGTAAATTTTGACGAAGGAAAGAACAAAGAAGGCTTCATGGGTGTACTTGCTGCAATTCAAGACGGAAATAAGAAAGGATACAATCTCAGACTAACCGTAACAGATTTAGATGGTCATATTTACTATGCACATGGCAATGTCACAACAGCCGCACAACTTCTTGACGCTTTCAAGACTACAAAGAGAGAACAAATGGTTGACTCCGACTCAGACATTTTGAATGCAATTGAAGGAATTGCAAGTGTCAAGTTCGAATGGTACCAACCTAACCCTCAAGCAGTCAGACAACATGCTGGATACTTCCCGTTCAGAAATAAGTCTGACATTGACTTGACAAGGTATGGAATTTTACAATTCAATTGAAACAATTGTCAATGAACCTTGTATTTCTTACATGTCTCAGGAACTCTGGTCTTGTTACAGATGAGAAAATGAAGTATCTTGAGTCATGTGTGAAAACAAGGTACATTCTCAGAGGTCAATTGTCAAAAGTTGCACCGTTGGCAAATGTGAATATCCGAGTCAACATTCCGACTGAGAAAGGTTCTTCACATGATGACTATGTTGTTGACTTCAAATTGCCATGGTTGAAGATTGTAATTGTCCACAACCACTTCATGTTGAACGAAAGTCTTACAAACCCATTGTTCGGAAAGGGCAAATGCAACATTGTCAGAGCTGTTAACATTCTTTTCGAGAAAGGTTTGTTGGAACCAATTCCAGATGACAAGCTGACAGAAACTTTTGTACCAAAAGACGAAACAAACTTTTCATTGTTAGCAAGACCAAAAGTTGTTCCAGACAAAGTTATAGCACAAAAGAAGTACACAATTCCACAAGGAGTTGGATTGTTCGGATACCAACCTGAACCAGAAGAACTTCCAATGAGGTTGCAAGAACTTCAAGATGCTATAAACAAACATCCATTGAGAAATCCAATCGACGTCAAATTGTATTGGAGAGCATCAGAGTTAGGTCAGAAGGTTTTATATGAAACAGGTTGCTTCGACGATGTTTATGAGATAACAGGAGAAGTTTCTCAGAAGATAAGAGACTCACTTGAATTTCCACGAACTGGGCCGATTGGATGCGACAAGTTCGACTCATACGAAAAAATATACTATGTCGACCTTAACGCTGCGTACATGAGGTTCGTCCAATATATTCCGACTGGAATTCCAAACGAAAACGGCGAGTTCCCGGGAAGGAACTATACAGTTGGAAAGGTCATACAACAACTCTATGATATTAGGAAAGCTTCAAACCCCAAACTTGCAATGACAATCAAATTGCTTATGAATTCGACATGGGGATATTCCATTAAAAAACCTCAAAAGATGAAGAGTAAACACTATGAGAAGGTCGACAACTTTGTTGAAAGGTTTTCTCCTTTTGTTTTGAAATACGAGTTCACCGAAGGTCAAGGTGGCTCAGTAACCACAGTAAAACCTATTGTCGAACATTGGTCTTATCCTCAGTTCGCAAAGGCAGTCCTTGACAACTACAACAAATTTTTCTCAGAGGTTAAATCGAAAGTGAAGGTATACTATGAGAACATTGACGCACTCATGACGAACGAAGAAGGATACAACAAACTCATTGAAATGGGTTTAGTCGGTGAAAAGATGGGCCTTTTTAAGCTAGACAAGGTATTTTCCGAAGTTCATGTAATATCGAAAAGGAAGTACTGGGGTGTTAAAGAAGATGGTGAAATAGTTAAACATTGCATGAAATAAAACATGGCATACCATTTTAAAACATTTTTAAAACAGTATATTTTTACATATATAAAATGCTTCAGGTTGAAAAACAAAGAACAAAAGTAGCAGATACAAAACCGTTAGACTATATCTTTACAAACGCTGGCAGGAATATATCAGATGAAGAAATTTCATCCCGAACATACAGGTTTGACTATCCAATTCGTTGGCTTCAAAGTCCTTCAGATGCAAAGGCAATAGGATTTAGAAGAGTTTTGTTTTCAAATAGAACTAATGCATTCATGTTTGCAGTATATTTTCACGGTCAGTATAAAGGCTCTGATGGTCTAATAGAAAAATTTGACGAAATGAGAATCTTTACAATTCGTTCAGACGAAAGTCTTGAAAAAACTCTAAATGACTTTCAAACTCAAATAAACAAATACTACTGGGAATTTCAAGAAAAATACGACTCTTTACTAAATGGAACATACTATCTAAAACTAGAATACGACAAGATGAACTCCACAGTTTCATTTCAAAGGATTGAAAATAACCCTCCAAGAGATACAGAGTTTTTATATTGGGGAGTAGACAGACGTTCTTGGGCACAATTTCTTCGGTTACTAAACCAGAACGAACCATTGCCACCTGACGGTCCTTTTAAATTTATACTCCCACCAACAGATTTGACAGTTTATAGAAACGTGTTCGATCCTCAAAATGTCATGTGTCATGCAAGTTTCAGTTCAAGCAACAACAGTTTTCTTTGTATCGGTAAGGACTTTTATGACTTTGCTTCTAAATTCTACGAACCACCTAGTAACAGTTTCTCTGACTTTCAAGTCTGGTTCACAACAAACGGTGTGCAGCATATAATTCCATTGTACTATGACTTTTATCTCGAATTGTCTTTCATATACAACTACGGAAAAGTGCTGAAAAAGTATTGAAAAATATATTTTAGGTGAAGAGGTCACTCGGTCACTCGGTCACTCGGTTAACTAACATCTTTTTGAAAATGGTGACAACATGACATTTTGACAACAACACAGGAAATAGATTTCATCATCTAATTTCTCATGAATTTCATCGTCAATGTTTTGAAGAACTGAAGGGGTCACCAGGTCACCAGGTCCCTCGGTCCCTCGGTCCCTCGGTCATTTTAACTTCTCTGAAAAAGTGTGACAACATGACATTTTGACAACAACACAGGAAATAAACTTCATCGTATATGAGCGTAAATCAGACAAAAATATATTTTAGTTTTTTTTTAAAAAATATTTTTTATTTTATTGTAAGAACATGTCAGCAACAACAGCACCAAACTCGTTAGTCATGAACCCAACATCTATGTTAGTAGAAATGAAAAGCTTCATTCCTTCTTCATATACTTTCGAAACAGAAATCCAGAAGATAAAGCAAGAACTTCTCCAAGGAGATTTAGACTGTAGTGCAAAGGATGAAACAAATGAACAGTATCTTTATGAAATGCAGGACCTGGTGGAACATCTACCTAAAATTCCTGAAATACAACAACAAAAGCTTACTATTCCAGAATTCGATGAAATAGAAGTGAAACCAACTGACTCAGTAGAAACCAAAAAGTTCATACGTAAGGTAAACTATGAGTTTCTTGGATTTCATTGCAACCACAAAGACTGCGATATGGTATATTTCATTGACATATACAAATCTGAAGAGTTTAAGACCTACGACAACTTTGTTTCGTTAGTTGCAAAATGTGTATGGCAGATAAGAGATAAAGATAGAAGAGGTAAAGTATGGAACGAACAGATAAAACCAGCAACTTTTGAGTTAAAGAAAACCATTTACGCCTTACTTGTTTTAGCAGGACAAATTTCAGAATATAATGCAAAAATGAACTCACAATGTTCAAAATGTAAAGCAGCAATGAGGAAATATAACTACTCCGTCAAAGAGATAGAACGTATGCGAAACGACTATGCTGACTTAAAGAAAGAAGCAGAGAAACCAACAGAAAATAAAATGGACATGTTGACATTTCTGAACAAAAACTATCCAACTGCTAACGATTTCCTTCTTTCAGATGTCAAGAAGAAATATAAAGAAACTTTCGGTATCGTTAAAACTTTTGATATCCTTCGTGAAGAAATAGAAGCTACAAAACTGTTTAAAGTCATGAACCATCACAACATATACCATGTAAAACGCTTATAAAACTTTTATGTTAGAAATATATTTTTGCCTGATTTACACTCATTGACGATGAAGTCTCAACAAAAACATATACGAAGAAGTCTATTTTCCTGGACTGTTGTGAAAATGTCATGTTGTCACCATTTTCAAAAAAATGTTAGTTGACCGAGGGACCGAGGGACCGAGGGACCTGGTTAGATCTAAAATATATTTTTGCTGAAAAAAATGACCAAATTTCATGAATTTCCTCATATGTTTGCTACCCCGACTTTTTTCGGCCTTGCATAAAACTCTATGAAATCATGAAAAAATGACCAAATTTCATGATATAACTGTATTTTTTTGACGAAGTGAACTTTTACTCTTCGTAAAAAAAATCCCTGAAATCATGAAAAAATGACCAAATTTCATGATATAACTGTATTTTTTTGACGAAGTGAACTTTTACTCTTCGTAAAAAAAATCCCTGAAATCATGAAAAAATGACCAAATTTCATGATATAACTGTATTTTTTTGACGAAGTGAACTTTTACTCTTCGTAAAAAAAATCCCTGAAATCGTGAATTTCCTTAAGATAGAAAAATAGAGTTAGTTTTTTTAAAATATTTTTTTTTATTTTGTATGTAAGAACAGGAAATGACAAGCACTGAGTTTGAAACAGTTAAAAAGATAGACAATGAGACCAAAATAGTTAGAATAGGTGATTTAAACGTAAGATACTCAAAGAAATACAAGAAATATTCTTTGTCAGACATTTTAACACCATTTGGAAAGAAAACAAACCATTGGGTTGCAATTGCTTCAACTCAGAAAATTTTGACAAGAAATCCTGAGCTGATGATATCGGTAAGATTCTATGGAACTACAGCATATCTTATAGACAAAAGTCTTATACCAGTAGTTTTGTTCTGGATTGACCCAGTTGTTGGATATAATTTCATAACATATGGTTCATTCGATACGGAACGTTGCAGTGAAGGCTTACTTTACATCGTTCAGAAACCGAAGGACTTCAATACAAAGAGATATAAGATAGGAAGAACATATAATATAACTCAAAGATATGACAGTACAGTCAATAGAGTTAAGGTTGTGTTTGTTAACGATATGAGAGCTGCTGAAACAGAACTACTTGAAGTTTTTGAGAAAATATATGGTGCTCCCACGAAAGGTAAAGAAACTTTCGAAGTAGATGAGATAGAGAAAGCTATAAAAGTATTTGACGAAGTTGCTGAAAAATACATGTAAAGCGTTTATTTTTGGTCTTTTATACAAGATAGAAAATAACGCTAATTTTATTTTTTTTTATTTTTTTATTTTGTATGTAAGAACAGAAATGACAACAACAGAGAACACAACAACTGCTATCGTTCATGAAGCCATAGATGAAGAATACGAGTACATACAGTTTAACAAACAACTCCGTCTCATTCGTTCGGTCAAAGATGACATGTACCAAATGCAAAGTATTTTGACAGCATGTTTTGCTCCAGACACTAAGAAACCACAAGACTGGTTTGAATTAAATAGCACTCATGAACTTTTGAGTGAGTTCGAACATGTAGAACTTAAAAAGATGTACCAAGACAGACAAAACTTACCATCGTATCTAAAAGGTATATATGTTCATAAGTTCCTAGTTAGTTCAATAGCAATGTGGGCTTCACCTCGTTATGCTTGGTATATTTACAGACTTCTTGACGAAGTTGCTGAAAAATACATGTAAAGCGTTTATTTTTGGTCTTTTGTGAAAGTAAGAAAATAACGCTAATTTTTTATAAAATATTTTTTTTATTTTGTATGTAAAGACAGATATGTCAACATCAGAGAACACAACACCTGCTATCGTTCATGAAGCCATAAGTGAAGAATACGAGTACATACAATATAACAAACAGTTACGTCTCATTCGTTCGGTCAAAGACGATATGTACCAAATGCAAAGTATTTTGACAGCTCTTCGTTCTACAAAGCAAGCACATCATTGGTTTGAAAACCAACAGACAAAAGAACTTTTAGAAGAATTTCCTCATATGTTTGCGTTCCGCGGTTTTCCGCGGAACGAGATTCCGTACGAAAATCGTAAAAATTTGCCAAATAGTTTGAGAGGCTGGTATGTTCATAGACTTCTTGTAAATGCTGTTGCAATGTGGGCTTCGCCTCGTTACGCTTGTTATATTTTCATGATGTTAGATGAAATTCATAGACAAGAACGTGAAGAGATGGAAAAGAAACTTCATGCAAAAGATGAAGTCATTGAAGCAAAAGACAAAAACATACAGAAAAGAATACCACGTTCGGTACCAAAAGGAAAGGAAAAGAACTATAAGTATATGATTTACACTGAAGAGATGGAAAATGAAGAAGACAGAGATATGGTTATGTTGCATTTAGTCAGAAGAAACAACAAAAGCTTTTACGACCTTGCTAAGATTTACAAATCTGACAGAAATTGGTTCTATCGCGAAAACTTACCGATTTCAATGACACCAAATGAAGATGTTAAACAGATAGTTCAAGATACGTTACCTCAAACACACTATGATATGAAAGGTTGTACAATACTTACATTCAAAGAAGATTTGCCATTACTGAAGGAAAAGATAACAGAGTATTTCGATAACTTCAAAGAGGAAGAGTAAATGAACCATTTATTTTTCAAGCTTGACACCAAAGATGGCTCATGTAGCTCTAGATGGTAAATTGTCTTGTCCGAGTCTTTCTGACATTCCGAGTCCTTCCTTCCAACAGGAAAGGTCCTTCCTTCCAACAGGAAAGGTCCTTCCTTCCGACAGGAAAAGTCCTTCCTTCCGACAGGAAAAGTTTTTCTTTCCTTCAGGAAAAATTTTTCTTTCCTTCAGGAAAAGTTTTTCTTTCCTTCAGGAAAAATTTTTCTTTCCTTCAGGAAAAATTTTTCTTTCCTTCAGGAAAAATTTTTCTTTCCTTCAGGAAAAATTTTTCCAGTTGTCCGTCCGTAAACCATTCAAATTTTCGAAAATTGAGAACTTTTTGGCCGACCTTCAGGAAAAATTTTTCTTTCCGACAGGAAAAATTTTTCTTTCCGACAGGAAAAATTTTTCTTTCCGACAGGAAAAGTTTTTCTTTCCGACAGGAAAAGTTTTTCTTTCCGACAGGAAAAGTTTTTCTTTCCGACAGGAAAAGTCCTTCCTTCCGACAGGAAAAGTCCTTCCTTCCGACAGGAAAAGTCCTTCCTTCCGACAGGACACAAACGAATGTCCGACGTACCACCAACCGAGTCCATTCCAAAGCCAGAAGAACCGACAGCCCCAGCACCACAACAGACTAAGACTCAAACACTTACATTTTTACGCTTGACTTTTTACAATTTGAACTTTGTTTGCGTAGATATGAATTCTGAAAGAAGTATGAGGGTCTTGTATGACTTTGTACTTCTCCCATAGTTCATGTCTGTCAAACTTACCTGCCATGGACTCTTTCATAAGTTCCATGAAATCGTCTTCGGACAATCCGGGGAAAAGTATGATATCAGTAAGTATTCTCTTTACATCCTTACTTAAACTCTTTGCTGTCTGTACACAAATGACAACTGAAATGTTAAAGTGTCTGAGCTTCTTAAGAATTCGACACATGTCTTGTTCTCTATTCTTTAACAAAGGATGAGAAGCAAAGTCATCTAAGATAAGAAGACATCTATGAGGGTAAGTCTTCCAATCGTAAGATTGCAATTTCTTCGAAATGTATTCTATCTCTTTCTGTTTGTTTCTGAAGTGTTTCTTCTCTAATATTCTCTGCATTTCCTCATTTGGGTCTTTAAACTTAGAATTGACATACTCATTTATAGCATTGTACTTCAAAACTCTTCTTTGGTACTTCTTTATCCAATCTAACAACTCAGTATCTTTTATACATACTAACTTAGACTTTTTTATAATATCTTTGAACGAATTGACGGTTTGGTCAAATTGACCAGAAGTACTACAAATGACTACTAACTCATAGAATGGGTTCTTCTCATCTAGTTCTTGTTGTTGTGCAGCCATTTTAAGATAAGTGAAAGTCTTACCCGACCCAGGCGGTGCAATTAGACCTGTTATACCATTCTGAGCAAATAAGAACTTGTCATGTATGGGTTTTATCTGAGCATTTTCCAACTTCCTCTTGTTCTTGTTTAAAACATTCTCAAATTTCTTGTCAATGTCAGCAAACTTTTTTTCTAACATATTTTTAGAAAAATTAAAATTTTTATCTTTTAGGAAATGTCTAGCGATTTCGCTATCTATATTCGAGACAAGCTTTTCGACAGCAAAACATCTGTCGACCATAAAATCTTACATAGTGTAAACAAGAAAGGTGAATTTGTTCTAAAGTTCTGTTTCTGGGAATATGACAAGAACCATAAAACCTTAAGCAGAGAAGTCTTAAAATTTGTCAATGACAGACTTGTTGACAGAGATGACGCCTCTTGGAGAGATGAAGTCCAACAAAACTTCTTAGAATGCAAAGAAGACACATGCGCTGTTCTTGAAAATGAAATAGAAAACAGAATAGAAGAGCTATTAAATGACAAAGCACTTTTACAAAAATATGGTTCTGAGAAGTTTGACATAACTCCACCAGAAAAGAAGAAGAGAGAAAAGAAAGAAAAGAAAGTAGAAGAAGAGAAGAAAGAACCAGAGCCAGAGAAAAAGAAATTTGACATGTAAAAATAAAATTTTATTTTTAGAACATTTCTGGGTCAATGTCAATGTTCTCTTCCTCTTTAGGAGCAAACACTGGCTTAGACTCTAAAATCTTTTTACCCAATTTACCTTGAACTTCAACTATCTTAGACTCATAATATTCATAGTCGTCTGCTTTCTTTGGTTCATAAGGTATAACAAGTTTGTATGCTTTGCCTTCTTTAAGGTTTGAAAACCTTCTGTCAAAACTTTTTTGACTGTTAACAAACCTTCTATGTCTAAGTCTTCAAATTTCGCACCATTTTTAGTCACAATAGCAAACTTAACTGGTTCGATGTTCCAAACTTTGTCAAATGTAGACTTTTCAAAATGGTAGAAGTAAACATTCAAATATGTGAATGGGTCTAGTTCTTCTTTAAGTCCTGACATATATTTGTTGACTGAGATGAATTTCGTCATCTTTTCTATCGGATAAAAAAAATATTTTTTTTAAAATTTACTCAGAAAAATTTTTCTTTGTATATACACCATTCTGTACGTCTAAAAGATTTTTGACATTTGCCAAGAATGTTCGTTTAGAAGCTGCCATATAACCATACTCTTGGCAATACTGTTTATACGAATCGTACAATGACCTTTCATCTAAACACTCAAAGTCAGTCTCATCTATAAACAGTTCATATACACTCTTGTTTGCTTCTAACAATGTTTGTCTCTCTTCGGTATGTGGAATTTGTCTTGGATTGAACTTAGAAATATCTAATGTCATGAAATATGAGAACAAGTGGTTGTAAAAGTTAGGTGTCAAAGTTTCTGCTAAGTCGTCAAAATATTCTGTATCTTGCATATGAGCTTCTGACGTTCTGACAACTACATATCTTCTGTCAGAACTTTCTAACTTCATCGGAACGGCGTTGTTTGAAACCATGATGAAATTTGCAACATTTTCACAAACTCTTTGGTCTTTATATTTTCTTTCAACAACTCCAACTTTGTCTGTTATAAGACTCTTCAAAGCATCCGAGTTTAAAACCTTTGTTGTATCTATACTTTGAAGTTCGTTACATACTATAAGTTTCATATTCTCTATTGAAGAGTTAAATTTACCGCAGATGTTTTCTAAGTTTGTCATATTCGGGTTCGAATAGCCCTCTAACAGTTTGCATAAGATATCTGTAAAGAAAGTGTTCTTACCTGTTCCTTGTTTTCCAATTATGATGAGAGCAGTTTCATTTTTAGCACTTGGATGTTGTAAGATGTTTGCAAACCAACATAAGATATACTCATAGACTCTTTCGTTTCCATTGCATATAATTTCTTTGACATGGTCTAACCAAGCTTCTATAACATTTTCTTTCCATTCTACTTGTTCGTATTTATATCCAGTGAAGATAGAATAGAAGTTTGGAGAAGGTGTATAGAACTTTATACCACGAACTGAAAAATCTTCTAACTTTGACAATAAGATATCCCAAGCATCTAACATCTTCATACCAACTTGTACGACTTTTATTTTCTTAAGTTTCTGTTTACATTCTTGTTCTGAAACTATTGTCGCTTTAGGGTTGTTAAAGACTACATCCCATTCTTTCATGACATAACATTCTGGGGCAGAGTCGACATAAATGACTAAACGTTTCAAATTCTCGACTGCTTTGTTATAGTCTCTAAATGGACACATATTTCTGAACGCTTGGAAGTCATAAAAATCTGAAACGTCTATTCTGTACATTTTTTTATATAAAATAAAAAAAAATATTTTTTTATTCTTGAGCTATTTGTTGCATTTGTTCCATTTGTTGCATTTGTTGTTCTTGAGCTATTTGTTGTTGAAGTTGTTCTTGTAGTACAATACTTTCACCAGTTGCATCTTCCAATTCGAAACTTTCTGCCGTCATTGACAAATACATAGGACATAAAAGTTTTACAGGAACAAAGTTTGCGTCAACTAAGGTTAAGTTTATGTTTGCTAAAGTGTTTGAGTTTACTAAAGCTGAAAACTCTGCATTCGAATGAACAATAGGCAAACCAGCAGAGAAAGTGTTGTTTATACGCATGAGTATCTTTTGGTCATAGTAGTTTCTGTCGACATTCGAATAGCACTTTGAACCTAAGTTTGAAACAATATATAAAATAGGTGTACTTAAAGTCAATGGAATAGACATTCCTTGTATGACACCTTTTCCTGTTATAGGAAACTGTTGGTAGTAAAAACCAGATATAAGTTTTGTATTATAGCTCATATCGTTTATACTAAACTCAGTCGGACATCCAAACATAATGAAACCTGCTCTAGTTGCAGCACATGTTACATCCGTCCTTAAAGTATTAAATAAGTCAACAAAACCTGTTGGTGGTATATCTGAGTAAGTATCTTCAAAGGAGTATTTTTTACCATTCACAACAACAAAGTCTTCTGGTGTCAAAAGAGCAAAACAGGCTTTAGTCGTCATCGTGTTTAAGGTCAGTTTACAATATCGTCCTTGAGGACTTTGTAAGTTTGTTGTTATAGAATTATATGACTCAGGGTTTTTAGTCGTAATAGTATAAACCACTATGTCTTCTGCCATTTACATATATTTAAAAGTTTTTCTGAAAGTGGAGAAGAACTTCATCTAAACTTTCACATGGCGTTTCTTGAAGTTCTCTGTCTAAGAAGTTCAAATATTTTGTAAAGACATAGAACTTTCCTTTGTCTACACGAACAAACAAAACAGGGTCTTTCATATCGTTCAAAAGTGTGTAAAGTCCTTTACATGAAATAAAGTCTATATTGTTTTTCTTCAAACATCTTTCAAGAAGTTTTGACATTTTTACTTAGCAAGTAAATTTTAATGAAATGTTGTGGTCGTCAAATATTTTTATAACGTCTGGGAAACTATATTTTAAGTTCAACGTTTCACCTCCTTTCATAACGTATATCTTGTCAATGACATTATATGAAACACCACAGCAAGCAATGTCGGGTTCTATTTCTTTGATGTTTATATCGTCTGCCTCTGTCAAAAGTTTCAATAGTTCTTTCAAAATTTCATGAGGTGCGATGACATATGAGTTCACTTTTACAGGGTTGTGTTCGACCAAGTTTAACATTAGACCTAAAGCTTGACAAATCTTCTCCTGAGTTTTAAGTTTGTCTTTAAGTTGTTGGTAGTCGTTTCGAATATCTGCAACAGAACTTAAGTCTCTGCTAACTTCAGGATATGTTGGTTGTTCTTTTACAGGAACTATTGTTATACCATCTTCGTCTTCGTATGGTTTCCCCACTTCAACATCTCTTTCTTTGACATTGACAACAACACTTTGACTGTTTGTTTGAGTTGGTGAATTTAACTTCACATCTGCCATCGCCATTAAACCTTTTGAAACACTTACGCTTCTATTTTTCGGAAATGACATTTTACTTAGAATAAAAAGATGGACGTATTTGAGTATCTCTTCGAATTGAAGCAAAACAAAGTTTACACACACAAACAATACAAGTTCATTGACAGAGTAGTTCTTTACACAAACAATGGAAAATGTTATAGAATAGCAGTCTTTGCTGAACCAAAATATTTTCATAAAGCAAAGAAAGTTGGTATAACCGAGATGGTGAAAGTTCTTGACGTTGACAAAAATATAACAACAAAACTGACCGATATTTCTAAAGGTAAGTTTTTAATACAATATTATATCAAAACTGGCGTACTGTCAATATTTGACGGAGAGAAGTCAGTTCAAGAACAACTTACTGACCTGCTGCCAAAATCTGCTCGATGGAAGCTGTCGTTATGCCAATCTGAGGAGCCCCAGCAGGTTTCATCGAACGAATTTTCAAAAGAGCATCTTCTGTGAAAAGTGCTATTGGTTTTGTAAACTTCTTTGCTTTCAATTCATCTGGACCGTCTCTGTCACCAGTATATTGTATTTGTACAGTACCAACAGTTGAAATACCACCCATAAAGTCTTCTGAGTCAGCAAATGGAATGCCAAGCCAAAAGTTTGAACGGTCTCCATTTGTATATTGAGTTTTTTGACCTCCTGTATGGGTCCATACTTTCACATATGGCATAATAGAACTTTGCATTTCAGGGTTAATGGTTGTTGTGAAGTTGTTGTTAAAGTTCATAGCATCTAATGTCAAGTTGTATGACCTCATATCTTCAACTGTAGAATATTCTTCTCTTGGATAATATTTGCCATCTATGTTTATATGATATTTAATACCGGGGTTGTAGAAACAAGAATAGTCATTTATAGTTCGTCTGAACAGTACAAACATAGTATCTGCATGTTTCATTGCAGTTGTTAAGGCAATATCTGTTCTTGCACCTGGGTCAGCACTTTGGTTTCCAACTTCACCTGCAAAGTCTTTGACAGATATTTGGTGTATAGGGAACATAAGTGGAACTGCAATATATTTGGCAGCTAAAGCATTTGAAATATCTGGGTCCAACATATAGACTGCAAGTCTGCTTTCTATTCTCTTGCATTCAAATTTTTCGCATGTGAACTTAACTGGGTCCCAAGCATCTCCAGCAGCATTGAAATAATAGTTTACTTCAGTGTTGAGGTTTGAGAAACCAAAGTCTAAGTCAACTTTGTTTTTGCAAAAGTCACAGAACTTGGCTCCACCAGTTCCAGCTACAGTAATAGTGAATGGGTCTTGTGTTGGTGCAATGACTAAGTTATTTTTGCTTGGAGTAAGTTCGATAGAAATTTTTCCTGCCCAGTTTGGCAAGTATCTTAAAAACCTGAAGATGAGGAAAGATGACAAAGGAACTCTAAGTTTCAATTTTACTTTGGTTACTGCTGCTGCAGTTTGTCCAGAAAGGTCAACATAAACTCCTGGAACGTTAGGGTCAAGTCTTCTTATTTTCTCAATAGTTGCATACTGGTCTGTTTGTTCTCTAGCTTGTGGTTGTACTGAGTTTCTCAAAGCGAACCATTCATAGTTTGCCCATGTTACTGTTTGAACTAAGTCAGAGTTAGAATATATCTTATATCCCATGAAAACTTCTGGAGCATATTGGTATCCGACATAGAAAATTCCATTGCAACCTTTCTTGTCAGACAACTTGGCAGAAGGTTTTATTTCAATGTCTTGTTCCACGTATAAGAAAGAGTTGTCAATAGAAATTATATGAAACCTGTCGCAAGCAATATCTACTGTTGTTGAAGAACCTTCTCCAAACTCACCTACGTTTCCATAAGAAACAGCAGTTGTATATTCGTAAGTTCCAGGAACTATTTCTGACCTTCTAATGGCATTGTCGCATTCGTTATACCATTCGGAAACATTTCCATTCATAGCATCCAAAACTGTTGGCGTTATATTCTGAGCGGCGTACATTTCATATGGGTAAAAATATAGAATAGTTGGATTTATGTGTCATAATAGAACCCACTGGACCAAGCTTTACTTTCTTCCTGACTGAGTTTTTAACTCTTCTTTTTCCTTCATTGCCACTACTTTCACTAGATGAAGTTACTTCTTCACTACTTTCACTTTGTTCTACTCTTCTCTTCTTCTTTGGTGTCGCTTTTGGTAACTTGCCCTCTGCTTCAAGTTGTTGCATCTTTGCCTCATGTTCATCTAGTATGTTGCAAATTTTCCATGTCCTTTTTGCCTTTGGGCTCTGGTCGCCCATCTCAGGTAACCTATATCCTAGAAAGAGTTTGTCATAGTTTGTATTTGAGTCGTCGCTTATTGTTTGCATGACTCTTTCCTGAGTTTCCGGTTCAAGCTCTTCAAACAGTGCCTGTCCATATGGAATATGCTCGTTTCCAAATATATGTTTTTGTAGCCATTCTGGTTTTCTTTCCATGTTACCAACTATATCTTTTGTGAATGGGAAAGCTTTTACCCAATCTTTCAGTCTTGCGTCGTTTATTTCTGTAGTTGGTTTTATTTTGTCAAGGAACATGTTTTTCAATACTAACATTTCATTTGGTACTGTCCATTTGAGTTTTCTTAAATATTCATCCCTTCTCAGTTCATTGTCTGCAAAGTAAGTTTTTATGACATTTTGTAAACTTTCGTTTGCAAGGTCATGTACAATAGGTTCTCTTCCTTCGCTGTCCATAACTTCTTTCTAAACTCTTCACCAAATATACCATCTTTATGGTTCTGTGTAGTTCTTTGAGATAAATGTTTTAGAACGTCAGGTGTTATATTTCCATCAGCCATGTTCATTTCATACTGGTCCAAAATATCTGCATGTTTCATATCTTTCAATGGCATTAAAGCCGCGCTTAAAATACCAGCTATATCTCGTTCACCATTCAATTCCATTGCGTCTACAACTTCTTGGAATTGTGGTTGTAAGTTTATGAACCACCTATCCGGGTTAGCTTTATGACCCCATCTCATTGTAGTTCCATCGTCTGCAGAAACAAAAGTAGGTTTGTTTCCATCTTGGTTAGGTTCTGAATGAACTTTAAACAATGTTTCATTTCTATATGTTTTCTTGAAATTTACCTTTTATTTTCACCGAGTTCATCCGAAGATTGAACGTTAAATGCTCGTAAGTAAAAAGGGTTGTTGTATTTGTGTACATTTTCTTTCAGTACTTCCATTCTATGCTGAATATTTTCATCTGGTGTTGGAGTCTTTTGTATGTCGGCAAACATTTTTCGATATTCTTCTACTATGTCAGCCGAATTTTTTTTAGACTCTTGGAAATATTCCATATTCTCCGCATACTCTTGTTGAGGGTCAAGATTTTTCGGCTGTTCCAAATCTTCATCTAGTTCTGTGAAGTTAGTTTCCAAAGGAAGGACTTGTTCGTTTCCTTCAGGCTCTTCTAGCTGTTGTTGCTGAACTATTTCTTCCATGTCTGGTTGTATCTGAACTTCTTCCTGTGGAGTTTCTTGTACCTCATCTGCTGGCATTTCATATATTCCGAGACCGTTTTCAACAATTTCCCTATCTACGTCATCCGCATTCATAAGCTTTTGTTCTTTCGTTCCGTCTCTATTTTTTACGCGTTTCATGACGAAAGTTGAATTGTCATTTAGCTCTGACATCAAATATCTCGGAGTAAATTCATCCATGTCATTTGGATGATATGCTATTAAATCATATCCCTTAGCGAGCTTGTATTTTCCAGGTTTGAGATTATATCCGTTTTGGTGCTGAGCCATAAAGCTAAATAGGTTCGGGTCAGTATTTCCATCCTTGAACTTTCCAATAGCTTCTTTATATCTGTCACTAAAGTCAACAGTATCTGGGAAACCACACTCTTCTTTAAGCATTTTTAAGAATTCTTGGTTTCCTTGTTCTCTACTTCTTTTATGTCCTTGCTCTGTTTGTGGTTGTTGTTGTGCAGGGTTTTGAACTGTTGGTTGCTGTGTTGGTTGTTGTGCTGGTTGTGGAGGTGGTTGTTGTGCTGGTTGTTGTGTTGGTTGTTGTGTTGGTTGTTGTGTTGGTTTTGGTGCATGCCTGTGTCTGTGTCCATGTGACGATGTAAATGTTCTAGGTAGTCCTGGTGCAGGTGCTTCTCTTGGAGGGTTTGGTGGTATATAAGTTCCACCAGCTGGCACATATGTTCCATCTGCAGCGTAATGTCCTACCTGACTTTTCGTTTTTAAGAAAGCATTTACTAGGTCTGTTTTGGTCTGTTGTAACTCTTTTTCTTGACTTTCCACAACAGTTGCTCTAACGGCGTCATAGGCACTTTGAACTGCCTGTCTCGTTGCTGCATCTGTTATTTTCGTCATATTTTGTGCTACTTCTCTTAACTCGTTGTCGAAACCTTCAGACTTCAGTTTCTTTCCAGATGAGAAGTCGTTCACTTGTTTCACCTTACTATGAAGAGCTTCGAAGGCGTTCTTAAAGTCAGCATTTGTTAAAGCTTCATTTGAACTGTCTTCATCCGCTTGTATTTTTGTCCTTATTGACCCTATAAGCTGGGCTGCTTTGGCGTTGGCTTGGGCATCTAACCAGTCATTGTTAGCTTTTATATATTCTGCGCTTTTCATTGCCTTTTGCATGGCTGCGTCGTTATTTTTACTTTCTTGTGCTAAGTTTTCATACTGTACGGTTTGGTTTTGCAACTGTAAAAGTTTTTCTGCCTTTACATTTGCTTCAACTTCTTTTTTATACTCATCGCTATCCATATATGTCTTCAGGGCTTTTTGTTTTATCTCTTCATCTTTCAGTACTTTTATATTGAGTAGTATGGTTTTTCAAATTTACAACATCTTGTTCCATTTTTGCTACTTCTGCTGCTTTTTCTGACACTTTTTTCGCATATTCCTCTGTACTTAGTTCTTTCAGTTGTTCTTCTTTCTTCTTTTTCTCTACGTTTAACTCATTGAGTTTCTTTGTGTGTCTGTCATATTCTAGTTTCTTTTCGTTTTCACTTATTTGCTTCTGTATGTCTATGTTTGACTTTTTGACATCTGTTATTTGATTTTTGAGTGAACTCAAATTCATTTGACTTTGAGGGTTATATGCTGTTCCGTCTGCAGCTCCACCATAGCCTGCCATTTTCGCTAAAAGTGCCGCTCTTAAACCTCCACTCTGTGCACCAACAACTCGGTTTAAAAGCATAGGATTGCTTGACATTTGTTGCAACATAGTGGGGTCATTCAGCATTTGTTGTTGCAACTGTTGTTGTGGTGTCAGTCTTACTATTGGATGTTTCAATGCTCTCTTCCTCTTACGTATATTCTTACGTAGCTTACGTGGCATTTTAAGTGAAGTTAAAAAGCGGCTTTATACTAAACATCTTCGGGGCTAGAGGGCACGAAGTGCCTGGAAGCCCCAATACCTTTTTTTTTTTTTTTTTTTTTTTTAATAATACATATTATTATATAATTAACATATTCATAATGTTTCACCCTTTCAAAAAGGGGCGGCGACAAATTTGCCCAGCCAGTAAAGTATTCAATTGTTTTTTTTTTTTGCATTTTTTTTAAAGCTTCTTAACTTAAATCATGGAATGTCTCAAAGACAAAAGTAGCATACAGCATGTAAAGCTAAAGAAAGATAATCATAATTAATACCTTAATTTTTAATATTACGCATTTTTAGGTGCAAAATTTAAAAACATTCTAATACAATAGAGCAGTTTCCAAAAGTAGCATACAGCATGTAAAGCTAAAGAAAGATAATCATAATTAATACCTTAATTTTTAATATTACGCATTTTTAGGTGCAAAATTTAAAAACATTCTAATACAATAGAGCAGTTTCCAAAAGTAGCATACAGCATGTAAAGCTAAAGAAAGATAATCATAATTAATACCTTAATTTTTAATATTACGCATTTTTAGGTGCAAAATTTAAAAACATTCTAATACAATAGAGCAGTTTCCAAAAGTAGCATACAGCATGTAAAGCTAAAGAAAGATAATCATAATTAATACCTTAATTTTTAATATTACGCATTTTTAGGTGCAAAATTTAAAAACATTCTAATACAATAGAGCAGTTTCCAAAAGTAGCATACAGCATGTAAAGCTAAAGAAAGATAATCATAATTAATACCTTAATTTTTAATATTACGCATTTTTAGGTGCAAAATTTAAAAACATTCTAATACAATAGAGCAGTTTCCAAAAGTAGCATACAGCATGTAAAGCTAAAGAAAGATAATCATAATTAATACCTTTAAAGTTTAAAATCTTGATTTTTTTTAAAATCAAATATTTATAACTTTAATACATACAGCTTAAACCTTATACTTGTTTTCTCTTGTGAGAAAGCAATCTTACAAAGCTAACAATCCTAAAAAATAAAGAATTAAAATTTAATAATTTAATCTAACAAAATTTCTCTCTTTATCCTTTTGCACTCTTTATATGCAACTCAAATCCATCATATAATATTCCTATAATACTCTTGCCTCAAACAATGACGAACAAACTGCTATTCTCATTTAATTACAGACCAAATCTATTCAAATTTCTGAATTTTTAATTTTCATTTCAATTTCAAATGGAATTAGAAGAAGAAACTATCTTTACTGTTATGGATCTTTGTAAATTTGGAGTTAAACAAGAAATACAAGCACAGTATGGATATGGTGAACGTGTCAGGAAAGAAAGATCTCAGATTTCATTCCACTGCAAATATCCAAAATGTCCTGCACATTTTAATGTTGCAATCTTGGATCAAAATAAATACAAACTAATCAAAATAGTTGAAGAACATGATCATTCCGCCCCAAATGACAAAAGTCAATATTCGTCTGTCTTTTATCGCAAATATTTAGAACATTACTTCCAAACAGATGACAATCAAAGAATGATAGCACAGCTAAATGCATTCAAAGATCTTGAAATTCCTCTTACAGGTCCGTCCATTCCAGAGATGTACGCTCAAAAACCACGTGCAATCAAACGATTTGCAGAGAGAATACATGCTCTTCAAACTAGATATTCTCCTGACGATGTTGTGTCATTGCAAATCTTTGTTCAGACAGTACAAGAAGAATCTCCAGATGATCTCATTGCATTTGAAGTCTCAGACAATAATATGTGTTTCTATTACGCGCCTTTTGAAGGCAAAGCTTATGCGCATAGTATCAAGACATTTCATATAGACAGCACCTATAAATTGTTGCGATCAAACATTCCATTGTATGCATTTACTGGCAAAATCAAAGATTTTCACATTTTCCCTTTTTTATATTTCTTTTGTCAACCAGACACTTATCAAAACATTCAAGTTTGCGTGTGCGCCTATCTCAGATGGGTAACAATTGAGCCAGAATACATTAGCATGGACTGTGCTCCACAGATAGCTCAAGCAATAGAAGAAAGCATTCCACAAGCTCAAATACTTTGGTGCGGAGTACATGTTCTTCGTGCAATTCTTCGCAAATCAAATAAGTTTTCTTCTCAAGAAAAATTTGAACAATTCTATAATTTGATGAAGGATTTAGTCTTCAAATTAGATGCAGAACATGAGGAAGAAGCAAATGCTGCCTATGATCAAGTTCTGGAGTTGCTCGACACAGATCCAACAGCATCTCAATACTTTAACAGACAATGGCGTTACAACATATCAAGATTGATTGCTCGTGACAGGCGTGAAGGCGACACAACTAACAATATTGCCGAAGCTCATTTTAGAACACTCAAACATGACTATTTTCCTGATCGAAAAAATCTCAGAATTGATGATGTTATTATAGAAATTTATACAAAAGTGATACCATCTTTCGTTATCAAACTCAAAATTGATCAAAATCCAGCAGATGACCGTGTGATTAGGATCATGGAAAAAGCAACAAACGCAGAAATTGATGTAAAAAGACAAAGAAAAATCGAGAGTATTTCAATGCTCAATAGATTGCTCAATGCTGTTAGTGATGACTCAATAGATCCCACTAAAATATATCCTACCATGAAAGTATTATTACAATGAACTCATTTTATTTAATTTTGATTTTAATTTTAGATTAAATTATTAAATTTTAATTCTTTATTTTTTAGGATTGTTAGCTTTGTAAGATTGCTTTCTCACAAGAGAAAACAAGTATAAGGTTTAAGCTGTATGTATTAAAGTTATAAATATTTGATTTTAAAAAAAATCAAGATTTTAAACTTTAAAGGTATTAATTATGATTATCTTTCTTTAGCTTTACATGCTGTATGCTACTTTTGGAAACTGCTCTATTGTATTAGAATGTTTTTAAATTTTGCACCTAAAAATGCGTAATATTAAAAATTAAGGTATTAATTATGATTATCTTTCTTTAGCTTTACATGCTGTATGCTATTTTTGTCTTTGAGACATTCCATGATTTAAGTTAAGAAGCTTTAAAAAAAATGCAAAAAAAATGTAATAAAATAAAAAAAATTTTAGTATCGATAATCTGAAATATGTTGTTTACTTAAACCGCGAGCGAAGCGAGGGGCTTAGTTTCGTAATTTCGTACAATCTTTTTTCGAATCTGTTCTTTTCGTCAGCCGCGAGCGAAGCGAGTGGCTTTTTATTTTTAAATTTTTTCTTTCTTACTTTTTTTCCCTTACTTACAAATTTGATAGTAACTTACCAAATCTCTCTATCATATAATAATAAATTAATACATTTTTTGTTTCAAATCTGACACTTTACATTTCTGACATGTAAACATGTTACTTTTCACTTCACCTCACTGGGCAAGTTTGTGCCCCCTCAAAATTTTAACGTGCTTTATTTTTTCTTTTTTATAATAATACATATTATTATATAATTAACATATTCATAATGTTTCCCCCTTTCAAAAATATAATCCTCCTCCTCTCAAATAAACGTACATACGGGTGGCCTCTTTTTTCAAAAAATTAAAATTTGAAATTTTGGGCTCAAATATTAGAGATTTTTTCAACCTTCAACGATATATGTTGTCTATATCAGACCTCCTTTCTTTTTGATACTTAACATTGTTCCTAAATCTTAGCCGTTAAGGCTGTTCTGAAAATATTTTTTTTCGAAAAAATTCGAAAAAAATTCTTAAAAATTAGGGTTGTTAAAAATATCAAAAATTAGCGTTTTGAAGACACCATGGTGTCTTATAATTTTCCCTTCCTTATTGGCGTGTAGAAATAAATGCGCCAATAGATTGAAGAAGAAGAATTGTTTTTCTCTTAATGAACTTTAATCCTTTTGATATAAGAATATTAAAAACATTAATATAATTTCGATTTCGGAAATTAAATTTCCAAATTTTTTGTCGATTTCGGAAATAACAGGATCCCGCATCCAACACGCAACAACAAAACAC